AAATTTACTGCGTACAGTATACATGAGCTCTGACCAATCATAACGTTGCCCACGGATAAACTCTGGGTAAATCTGACCAATGATGGTTCTGCAAATTGTGAGTAGGGCCAATCAAAACGCTGGGCTAGCAAAACAGTGGAACGCACTTTTTCCTCAGTAAAGAAGCACAGCTGAATCTGCGCACTGCGTGTACTTCGTCACTTCGTAGCACAAATTTACAGCTTTGCTTAATTATTAACCCCGTAGGCTAAAATAGGCGCCCTAAAAAAAGGTATAGGTCTAGGGTAGTACTTCTTGGTACCCGTTAGAGTGCTATAGGTAAACCCGGGTATTATGTTATCTTTATCTTATTAAGAAAAAATCTTAATAAATAAAAAGCTTATATAGCTAATAGTAGTAGTTACCGTTACGTTGTTTTATTTTTAAAGCTAGGTTTCTATTAGGAAGCTAAACTGGAACCTATAGGTTATTTGGGGCTTTTCGAATAGCGCCGTAAAATCCTACCGGTACCCGTCACCTTCCCGGGTTAGCCACGGGTACTGTCAGCAGGACGAAGACTTATAAAGACTATACCAATAACACCTCTATTAGGGGTGCCCCTAGTTTGCCGGTGGTCAAGTGGTATTTGCTATGTTTGACAGGTACATATGAGCCCCTAATTTGCAAGTCTAGAACTTGTCGCAACGAGTCAACAAGTAGGCGCTTATTCTTAAAAAGTTGAAACCCCTAATGTGCGGTGTGGAACCTAAGTCCGTCGATGGCATCTCTCGGTACTGGAATCGCGAGCTTTACTATCTATCTTTCCGCTAGATCCTTACTGCTGTCTTTCGGTTGCTTCGTGCAGATGGCGGATGGTTAATGGGACGATGACGCGCCATATAGGGAGCATGTTCCCTTACTAGAATACTAGGAAGGTGACGATGCTGAACTTGAACGTGGAGCAGGACGGGGGTATTGGACGCAAATTTGGTGGTCTTCATTTTGGGCTGTACTGAAGCTATCCAAGGGTGACTGGTGCGCGTTGTCTGCTTGTTTGGAAGGTCGTGAGTCTAGCGGATGTCTGACCTCTTACGCCAGAGCCGATAACGGGGCTTAGACCAACGGCTTTGACGATCCGGACCGTTTCCAGATTCCCGCTGGATATATCTGAAGAAATCTACCCGGGGTCCCGGGGCTAATGCACAATGCCACTCTTGTGTAGGCATTCAAAGCGCTGACGTTCTACACTACTTTTCAATGCAATGGGGTGACATTCCAGCGAGTTCTGCAGTACGGAAGTTTCTCGACGAGATGCAGTTGGCAATTGTAAGTTCTCAAAAGTTTCTCTGTTGAATACAAGCAGCCCCGTGCATCCTGTGGCATGATAAGAGTTGTCGGACGTCCAGGAGCGGTCAGACCAGCAATCTCTATTCACAACGCAGCCTCCTGGAATAACGCTCCATCCGGTGTTGCCGACGAGTTGTGTTGCCCAGGTCATTATAATATCCGCAAGGGCATCTCAGTTTGTCAGATATGTCACCGCATCGTCCGCCAGCCATGTCTTCCACATTTCAACCCGAGCATCCCTAGCAGCTCTATACGCCAGGGTGGTATGGCGAGGTTCGAACACCCGTCGATGCCAAGTATTACGACCGCGCCGCAGGCGAGCTGCGCGTTGCGTCCTGACATCAGGAGTACTCAGGCCCGCCAGCAGTCGGCATCATCCTGAAGAGTGTTAGAGCACAGACAGGTCCGCTCGCCTCCTCTTCGTTCCGTGTCGCTTCCCGTTCGCTATAAGGGTCCGTGATAGATGCTCGCCTCGCTCGTTGCCACAGTAGACTCGATCCTCTCGTCTTGACTTCCTCTTATTCGTACACCGTCCGTTCTTAATGCTCCCTCACGGCCAGTCCGCTTATCGTGTGTCTTCAGTCTGTTTAATGGCGCGTGCTGTGTCACTCTCGTTCATGCTCACTCTGTTTCGCGCCCACTCCCTTCGTGTGTCTGTAGCACTTCACTCGTGCATCTACTGTGTGTAGCCGGGGCAGGGGCAGGTCCCTTGACCACAGCCCTTCGCTGACGCTCCGAGGTGCAACGCTACGCCTGGATTCTATAGTCTAGAAGGAGGCCTCCGGCGGTGGACATTAGAGTCTTACTCTTGTAAATGGAGCTGGCAAACGCGTTGGCGACTACGTCACTCTGATGCTCAATCAGTAGCCGTGACTTGACACAAAAACTGGACTTGTATTACAACATGAAGCCATCATGGCGGCTCAACCAGGAAAGTGCGAAAAACCCCCGGCGTTTATCCTTGTCCTTGACCTTGGCGCGGTCCTTTCTCCGAGTACGCTCGTACGAGTGGGCCTCAGACTGCAACGTTGCAAAGAAACAAGAAAGAAAAAACCTGCTCGGTTCCATAGTGGTAGGCGACCCTTAGGTCTTTATACCTCTCGGTGGCTCCCCCTGTCGTGTCCGTCTAAGTGTAGGTATAGCAGAGCTACAAATGTATAATTCTCCGCATATCTCCCGTTTACTTAAGTCTATCAACTGCTTTTACTCCTGCCTGTCGTCTTCGGCCCGGCCACTAGCCCGACTCGATTCTCTTATAGACCTTTATACCAAACATAGATAGCTCTCTTGCTCCCCTTACTGTCGTTCGTCTCACTCCCTCGCTATTTAGGCTCCACATGTACGCGTAGATGCTCCTATTATCGCTTCCAGACTGTCACTCGTTCCCCTCGTGTTCACTCCATTCCCATTCCGGTTTGCTCCTCTCGTCCCACCGCCCGCTCTCTTGTCGCTTTGCTCTATGTTCACTTCTTTCATCGTGTGTGCTCATTCATACTATTCATGAGCACCTCGCTTGTCAAACTCTCTCGTCACAACTGCCTGTTGTGTAACTGGAGTCTGGATGCTTACCATTGCGTGTCACTTCGCGGTCGTTGCGGTGTGAACACCACCGTCGCCACGCTTCCTTGTGCAACCCTTCGGGTAAATGACCATAGTCATGAAATGGGCCTCCGGCGGTGATCATTCAGTCTTTTCCTTGTGAACGAGGGCTGTTCCACTATCTGGGCACTACATCAATTCATTTGTGGAACTCAGTCGGTAGCCAGGGAGACATTACAAACAACGTCGGGATATGGCCAAGGCGTGTGCTAATCTGCTATTCAATCCGCCCCGTCTACTCCGGCCCGGCAACTCCATCGCTATGCATGTCCAAGTCGAAATTGTCGTTTCAAACGACCTGCATCGTCACCCCGACGGCGTACTTTAGCCACCGTCTTCTGTCATCCACTACGCCTTGCACCAACTCACCAAGCCGTCTCAATAACGCATCCACCTCACGGACCAGACGCAAAGCTTCGTCAATTACCTGGACACTCGAGCCCGGGCAATTCAGGGCAGACTCACTGTATTGTTGGATCTTGATAGCCCTCGTTTGGCGAAATTACGTACTTGATCAAATCCCGGGGCTCGCTTGCTAACGGCCTTGAATCTTGGGAGAAGGAAAGAGTCGCATTCGATGCCGGCGAAGCTAAATGCCTCATTAAGGCGGTTGAGGTAATTAAAGACCTACTTATCGCCCCTGAAGAAGAAGATAGAGAGGTTGATCGGGGAAGATAATTTAACGATACACGAATGAAGATTTATCGATACTTCATGATATATAATGTTCGGAAATGCCTTGATCCCTGTCATTTCGAGTCGATATGGGGGTGAGAAGTGCAGGCTGGAATGCTCCAGAAGCGCTCGTCACCCGTCAATGCCTGCATCGGCGCAATTCTCCCGCGCTCGGAAGAGCAGCGCTGGACATGAATGAGTGAGGTTGGGTACGAGAATGAGGAAGGTTACAAGCAAGAATGCGAGATCAAGCACAAGACGCGCGATGTCAAACTCGGATGGCCGTAGTAGGAGGCAATATTACTGCAACTTGCCAAATCCAACTCAGCCAGAATTGAGTTTTGGCATTGTCTACTAGAGGGGGGTGTAATATTTTTATTGGATTTCTTGTGTTTACGGAAGTTGGCCATCCAAGCTAGGAAGAGGCTAATTAGCTCTTAGGAGGTAGCACGGGGACAATACCGCTCAATATGACGGCCTCTTTTCTTTGGGTTCAGAAAAAATCTAAGGAGGATGAGTTGCTAATACATTCCTACTAGAAAATCGTCGCAGAAATCTGAAGCAGCCAAAAAGGCTGTGCCTTCTAAGCCTAACCGTCGGAAACACAAAAATCTTAAATGGAGCTGTGAGTTAATTAGACTATTGTTACGCGCCCGGGGAGGCAGACCTCCCAGACATCTCGGCGGTAAGCCGTCGGGAAATAGAGGATGCTATTATATCAAAAATGGCATTTATTCTCAAACTTCAAAACAGGCCCCTTAGGGATGAATCAACAGTTAAACCATTAGTCCCTGTTCACTCTTTGCTTGGCCGTACTTTTGCTTTTTTAACCATTCATTTTGCAAAACCATCTCCTAATACACCATAACCGCCTCTCTATAGCCCCTCCCTTTCCGTAGCGTAACCGAAATATCCCTATAAACACTCAAAGTATTAGAATCTAATAAGGCAAAATTCAAAATTATATTATTGATAGAGATATAAACACTTGAGTCTATTTCCAAACTCTTTTTTTGTTCCCCTTAGTTTAATAGTCGTACAATAATAATTTGACAGGCATGATCGTCCCGCTCCAATAGTCCTCACTCCTGAGATGACTCTGCAGCCTGAGGCCGGCTATAGATGTACTTAAAGGACTGGAGGCACTTAGATTATCTGATTAGGATCATTTTACTCTCATCTTCCATGAATTTAAATGTTCTTTTCCCTCAAATATGTCTTGCTAATAGAGCCACTCTTAGCTTGACGGTCATAAAGTAAAATACCAAAGCATTCATCAGAGCGGTCTCTTAATCATCTAAGCAAGTGACCCACTTGTCCGTAAAGACATTAGCTAACTAATCTAGCTACCCGTAGCCGTGTATTTGCTCTATGGCATTACATTTCTCATAATAAGCACCTTAGCAGCTGCCGACCTTGTATAGCGTTTGCCTTACCGCTTGAGGCTTAACAGCAACTACATTGCGCTGGCTATCAAGGTGGAAAACAAAGTCATCTAAGCCGATTCGCCCGTACTCTGGGGAGTCTACCGCAATCCACTGTTCCGCGTTGGGATCAAATATGCGCCGGATGGACGCGTTATAGCCAGCCGGAAGCGTCTTAAAGGCGGCGCGGAAGGCGGCTGAGCGGGATCCTGTACTGTTGCCGAGTGAAACTGCCTCCATCGTCGGGTAAAGCCTTACAGATGTGATGATTCCACTTTTCCTCGTGTCCGAGTACGCCTGCAGCGTCCGCAACATGTCGGATCCATTGCTCGCCCACTGCTCGACGAGCAGCCCCGGGCCGTTGTCGTCTGTGGATAGCACCAAAAAGGAGCCCGACCCGTCGGAGTACCTTCCGCAGAAATTATGGCATGCCTGGCCCTGGCCGAGTCTGTCCATGACGGGTAAAAATGCCTGGAGCGTCGTCTCAGTCGCTATATGGAGCGCCTGTCCACTCTCGGGACCGGCAGCTAGCACGGCGAATGCTACCTGGAAATCGGGCACGAGGACCAAGACAGAATGATACTGATTGAGACTGCCGGTTTTGGTGTACAGGTCGACGACGTACCCGCTGCTGACTTGGCTCCTTGTACGTATTATCTCCCATGGGGCGCCGACCGAGAACGAGAGGGACGCGGTATGTGCCTGGGGCTTCATCCACCGGCGCGTTTCCTGAGGGGATAGTTGCTGGCTCGTCAGCAGTGCGCGGCCAAATGTGACCAGATCACGCGAGGAGGAATATAGGCCGCCGTTTCTACGAGGCGCACGTCGAACGGTCAGTCTCGATGCCACCTAGCGGCTGCGGACCTATGCATTGCACGTACGGATTGTCGTCCCCCAGAGTCCAGTTCCATCCCGAGTCGCCCCGTGGGATGACGCCGATGCCGGAGACGCAAGGACGGTCTGTGCTCGTCCTCTCCAAGCCCAGAGGCTGGAAGACGTCTTGGGATAGAACTGAAGTATAGGACGAGGCGGCGATGGCTTCCAGGACGTAGCCCAGGATCGTAAAGGCCGAGTTGGAGTACGTCGGGCCTGTATACGGCAGGAGGACGGGATGTCGCTTTATAAAGCCCTCCAAGTACTCTGCGGCCAAGTCAGCTCCAGACTTCTACCCGGACCTAGGCCGGCCAAGTAGGTGCAAGCAGACCCTTGCGACTGCATGGACGGTAACTGCTGTTCGCGCCGCAGGTCGGAATATCGCTCTGAGGCAGAGGCGGGAATCCGCGCTCGGTCCAGGGGAAGCTCTCGGTAGCCAGATCGGTGTTATCTAGGCGAGAATCATCATAATTGACAAGCGCTCTGCACATACGAATAGATGGTCGGCATCCAACAGCCACGCGTAAGCCTTACAGTCTTGTCCTATGCCAGACAGCTGCGACGCCAGGGCGCCAACCGTGACGTCGTGCCACTGCACATGCTCAAATGGAAGTTCTGTGTCCGCCTTCGAAGCCGCGTCCCGCAGCTCCGGGATGAAGTCGGTGACTGGGCGGTCCCAATGTTTGGCTCCGCCGTGGAGGAGGAGCGCATATACGGTGAAGAGCTTGGAGATGCTTCCAACTCTATACATGGTCTCTGCCGTTACCCTCGTGGTGCTTTCGGAAGACAGGTTGACACGCGCAGTGTAGTGGAAGTCAACAAAGGGCGAGTCGTCGAGGGCCGACAGGGCAGTCATCGACAACGACGTCGATTTGCCAGTTAGGTTCCCGAATACGGTCTGCCCGCCTTCCAAAGCGCGACCCAGGGCAGCCGAAACATCGGCAGCCGTGGCCCGGATCGAAGCGTCGGCGGCGACGTAGGAGGGGGCCGGGTAGGCCGGCCCCAGGAGCTTCTGATCGAAGACAGGCAAGGCCGAGGTCGGCGATGCGACGGCCAACATGGCCAAGGGATACTGATGAGCGTACATCTTGGGGCCTCCTGCCGTCGATGACGCTTTCGGGCCTGGTTCCCTGTGAAGAAATAGGCGACATTGACCGGCTGATATACCTTGTGCTCTCGCCAAGGCGGTGAGAGCGGCCGAATGACGCGGCGGCGCGCTATGCCTGCAGTCTCTGCGTGGTGAATTGAGGGGGCGTGTATCACTCGTACTTTGCAAAGAGAGTCGCAAGTGGCTATGCTGGACGGGCGGCCACTCGACGCACTTAATCTAGGCACCATGGCGCCTTCTGTTACATGCCAACCTGGCCAAACGCAAAGGCAGAGAAGAAAATGAAATTGCTATATATTGTGTATAAACTTATGACACACTGTCCTCCTGAGTCGAGGGTTCGGTGTCAGCCTTGCTGCTTCCTACGATCCCGTTTCCTGCCCTTGCAGACGTCTTTTCCCACTTCTCTTCTCGGCTTGCCAGTGAACTGTCACCCATATCTTTGGCCATCTGGGCTTTAACGCGTTCATCCTTTGTCTAATCTCTTGACCCTGTCCAAGTAATGCAGCGCTTACACATGTGTTGGCAGTCTCAACGCCACTTAAAGCTCTAATGCTCTACCTGGAAGGCTGGAACAAGAGCTGAGGAAGAAATCGGCAGCATAGATTGGCGAAGCAGTGCACGAGTTGTCCTAAACAGCTCGACAACTTCCTCGTGGACAAAGAGGGCAACGCTTGGATCACCGATTTGTCTTAGATCCGTAGCTGGTTTGATCCGGATAAGGCAGGCACCGTAAAGGCGATCTGGAACGAACCACGACGTCTTGGGCAGTTGCAGGGTCACGTTCTGCCCATACCGCAACACCATCTGCACGCCCCGCCGAAGCTCTAATCGAGCTGCTGCTGTCAGCCGACCCCAACGCCGCGACTGCACGTGGTCCACAACTTGAGCACCGCCTCCCCCGCTAATGCCTCTTGCGTATGAGCCTGGCGAGACCAACGAAAGGCCTAGACGGAAGCTCGCCGAGCCACCATGCTAGCTGCAACTCTGTCCCTCCTCCCTGAAAAGGATGATCCACAGCATCAAGGCTGAGGAAGGTATGGATGGGATTTGACAACGAACAGAGTACAGTACGTCTTTTGAATGGGCTTGCCCCAGAAAGCCCCCCCTAGCTTCTTGTTCCCTGCTCGTTCTGTCACGTCAATTGATAAAGGGCGGTTGGGGGGGAGGGAGTGGAGGGGAGGAAGGAAGGGGCGTGGACGGATGTCGCGCGTGTCGTGTAACCCGTAGATAAGCGGCGTCTCCTTTGGCTTTCATGGGCAGACGATTGCGTGGCAATGCGGGGCACTGACAGAACGTCTGAACTCTGAAGTGAGAAGTCCGTGGAATGAGACATTCACCATCCCCTCCCCCCCTCCCCCCCTTTCCCCCTTTTCTTCCTCCCTCTCTTCCCCTCCTGTGCAACAACCTGCGTGAGGCTGTTCGCCGCCCCAGTTGGCCCTAGCAGATAGATGGCGCCGTCGCGATTGTCGATGCCCTCGCTTACACTTTTCGCTGTTGCCTATGACGACAACAAGTCTGTCACCGAACCAGATCTAAAGGAACTATCGCCGGCCGTGGCACGAGACAAGGCCTTCACACCTTCTATTCTCGTGTTCTCGTGTTGAGCGCGAGGCTGCGAAGCGCGGCCGACGCGGCTACCTTATCAATGGCCAGAAGACGCAGGCCTTGGCTACGTGGGACCCCCCCTGTGTACCTGGCCGCGCATGATTGGGCTGAGGGGGTGAGTCTTATTCCGGCCTTGTTTAAGCCTCCCTGGCTGGTGATAAGTCGAGCTCCGGCGCCCATTAGGTTCGTGTTAAGAGACCCGCGCCCCGAAGGGCCCCAGGGCCGCATGCCGGAAAGGGATCTTGGGGGCCAAGATGACACTCCTAGCGGACGGGCGTGCGGAGGACATGACTCGTGTACAGGGACATCTTAATGCCCTCCTTGGGCAGTAACCGGGGGTATCTGTACTATATAGAGCCCCTCGCTCGTCCCGATAGACCAAGACATGCATCACTAAAGTCGCCTCTTCAAGACCACTACACCTTCCTTGAGAGCACGGAGAGTTCGATTTTCGGGCCTCGTGGCCAGCCTCCTCTGGCTTTGGCTTGTGACTGCGTCTTTGAGGCTGCCGTTGGTTAACGGCTCGTTCTCCTCTAGTGTGTGCTTCCAGAGGGCGCATGACTTCTCCGAGCCTATCGCGCCGTCGCGCTGGATACCCACCATCACCGACACCCACGGCCAACGAATCGATCCATCCTTCCAATTGCCAACAGTTGCGTATCGAGTATTTTCAGTAGGAGATGGCTGCAACTGGCTTATCGCCATCTGGTTTGCGTACACTCGAATTCTCCGTCTGCAGATAGACGTGTCCATATGCCACTTCCCTATCACACTGGACTTACTGATAGGTTGCCTTTCCTTGTCACACACTACAGACAGAATCATGTTTCTGGTCTAGTATCACTGCCACCGATCAATCTGCTCGACACCACCATTGTGGGCAAGGGGTAGGTGCCGAGCTAGAGCCATCTTCTCGTCTAGCCCTCTATGGGCGAAAAGCCCTGCGGATAACATCTCCGCGGCTGCCCATTTGACCCCTGGCCTGCCTTGGCCTTGGGGTGGATAAGAGATCTGGCTATAAAGACTTGGCATTGCTTCGAAGAAGTCGCCGCTCGCTTTCCAAGATCCCAGAGTCCCTTGTCACCAACGACCCAGAACCGAAGTGAGTGAATAGCTTGGGTACCGCTGCCATCATGGTGACCTTATCCGGCGCACTCGTGATGCCGGGCGCTCCTCGTGGCCCCCGAAACCAGAGGCGCGTAGGCAAGCTGGCCACGGCCGTCGTGGCTCTCCTCTGGGCCTCGGACTATGTGCTTGGGCACAATATTCGGACATATCCGGGGGAGAAGATCGGCTGGCGGCTGTGTGGACAGGTCAAAGATCGCGAGGTGGAATGCAGCGACATCAACGTGCCCATGGATCAATTCGACGCTCATAATTCTGGCGACAAGACGTTCAACCTGCCGCTCATCCGGATGCGCGGCCACAATGCCACGGAGAATCTTGTCCTCAACCCGGGCGGCCCCGGCGAGAGCGGGCTAGCATTCATCTACACAAATGGAGCTTATCTTCACGACGTTGTTGGCGACGGGTTTCACCTGTTGTCCTTCGACCCACGAGGCGTCAATAGGTCACGGCCTGCAGCCCGATGCTATCCCAACAAGGAGACACGCAAGAGCAAGTTCAGGATCAATGACCCAGACGCCTTTACCCAAAGCAAGGAGCGGTATGCCTGGACGCACAACTACGTTCAGGGCTGCGTCGACAACATGGGAGAGCATGGTAAATACATCAATACGCCCCAGACGGCTGCCGATATGAACAGCATCCTTAATGCCGTGGGCCAGCAGCGGATGGTGTTCTGGGGCTTCAGCTACGGCACCCTACTAGGCCAAACATACGCCGCCCTCTTCCCAGAACGTGTCAGCCGCGTTATCATCGACGGCGTTACCGACTACTTTGACTGGTATGAATCGCGTATCTTGCGGGGCGACTTCATAGATACTATGAATGTCTTTGATGGCTTCTTTGAGCAGTGTGTTCAGGCTGGCGATAGGTGCGAGTTGGCCTCCCGGGCCCGGAATAAGGGGGAGCTGCGACAGCTAGTGTTGAGCTTCCTACACCGCCTCAAGACGCATCCTATCCCCGTCTACATCAACGCCACGACACAAGGTATCTTAAATCACGCAACAATGCTTAACGGCGCCATATACAGTCACCTCTTTAATCCGAGCACCTGGCACACGCTGGCCCACAATCTGGCGCAGGTTATGGACGGCAATGTGACCGAGGCATACCTCCGGTACGGCAGCGATGAAGCATCAGACACCATCGATGAGGCCAACGACATTATCGACCTCAATGACGGGTTATCGGGACCTGCCTACTGGCCACAGGGAAGGCAGGCTCTCATTGACTTTCTGATGCCTTGGTATAAGTCATCGCCCTTTTTCTTTCAGATGAACCGCGAGTATTATGCCAAGCAGCAGTGGCCAATTCCCAAGACACATAATTTTGTGCCGCGCCGGCTGGTCCAGACGTCGCATCCGTTGCTGGTTGTCTCCACCACCTACGACCCCGTCTGCCCGCTGGTGTCGGCTAAAGTCGCCCGCGAGGTGTTCAGGGGCTCAAGCCTCGTCGAAATCAAGGGCTACGGGCACTGTTCCCTGGCCCTGCCATCCTCGTGCCTGGCCAGGCATGTCCGCGCATATCTCCAGGACGGCACCCTTCCGGACTACCACACCACCTGCGAGCCCGACCGGCCCTATTTCCACCAGCAGGAGAGGGGTGGGGCAGCACAGCTCCCGGAGGACCGGACGGGTCAGGAGAGGATCTTCCCTGCGCAGGTGGTGCTTTCCGACGTGACGCGCCGGCGCTCGTGATGACCATTGGTCTCTCGGCATCATGACAAGGAGGACTGGCGGCCTGTGTGCTGCAATTGCCGTCGTGATGTATTTGTTGCCGACCGTTGTTACTTGGATCGAATCATTGTGGTTCTAGGTACGAATACAAGGTGAGACTGCGGATCGTCTTGAAAGGTAGAGGTTCTCGGATGGTGGAGGTCAGCCTGCAGAATGCCTGGCCATTCCGCTGGTCAAAGAACTGGGCTCCGCACTTCGAGGACCAAGAGTCGGATTTATAGCCACAGCAGAGGGCTGGTGCCGACCTCATCTTTCGTTGTTGTGCATTCATCGGTATTGGTCCCTCATTTCCGCTTTTTAGCATGCATCTCCTATGTCCTCTTTGTTTTTCACTACTTCTATAACGATTCCGGCCGCGGGTTCAACTACAGCCCCGGCGGTGACCCTTACCCTTAAATGTTCTAGGGAAATCATCTTCAAGTATACAAAATCTCCGTGTTTCTGCTGTCATGCTTAGGAACGCGTATCTTATTAAAATCTGGCCAAGTGGAAGTAGAAAATAGTATATAAGCCCCCCTTCCCCCCTTAGGCAGACATAAAGCCGTATTCGAAACCCCCAGGTTTTAGATCACTATGTCGAGACGGCTGTTATACATTTTCAAGGTCATCGTGTCTCCTGTTCTCTTTGTATAGACTGCAGCCCCATGTTTCTGCGGCTCAACCCTTCCGTTTATGCACCGGACCAGCGCTTGGGACCTTCCTTTCTCTTGAGCCCAACGCATGCCCAATTCTTTGATTGTTTCCTCGACCTACTTGACTGATATGCCTCCTTTCATTTAGTCTTTCAAGTCCCTTGGTGTTTTACAAGTCGACACACTTGGCGCGGCGGCCTTTAGCTCTTCCCCAATGGCAGGCGATTGCCTTGTGCAAACTGGCACAAGATACTTGAGCTTAGGGCCCGGCAGCTCCTAAAGCATTATATAGACTTACATGGAAATAATAGTTCATCGTTATAAAATGCGTACTTATTCTCATTGATAATGTCATCTTTCGGAGGCTTCATTGTGTCCCGTATTGCTCTTGAACACCTCGCGTACGGCCCCAGGCGACCCGGAGACATGGGTAAGCAGTGATTGGCGCAGCAAAACGTGTTCTTTAATCTTGGCATTGCATGGTATTCGGTGGAACCTCGCGTCGCACAGAAGCACGTGAATGGCCGCTTGGCATCCCCCGTCTTGAACCTCCCTGGCATCGCGACGTTTCTGTAGACTTTGCAGCCTCGGGCAGTCCCTTGACATGTCGATGCGTAATCACGCCGCCCTCGTACTGCTCCGCGCGCACTGAATCTGCCGTGCGCAAATGTCGCCGTCAATGCGTCTCGACCTGACGCCGCGGGCCTGCGAAGTCTGCCAACGCCGAGACGGCCTCCTCCGCTGTTCGGGCTGCCAGTCGGTTTACTACTGCGGCCGAGACCACCAGGTAGCCGACCGAGACGGCCACAAGGAGGGATGCGTGGCCGTCAAGAGGGCGCGTGCTCGCTTGAAGCGCGAGGAGCAGATGCTACGCGACAATCCGGGCGACATAATCACTCCGGCCAATGTCTTTGACTCCGGCGTCGGCCGTTTCTGGGGCATCTTCGAGACCCGACCCTATATGCGCGCGCGTTTCGGGCTGGTGGATATACTTCTTCAGCACTTTGGCTCCGCCGGTGGCCGTGTCGATGTTGTCCGGGCTGCTTTGGACCACCTCCTCGACATGCTCCGGCTCTGTCGCTCGGATAACATGGGCCTTAGGGACCTGATCCCGGCGCTATACATCCGTCTCGGCAGGGACCAGGCGGCCTATGACTTCGTCAAGTGGTATGCAACCACCGGGCAGGACTCTTATTATAATTGGGGTGACGTGGATCTGCCGTTCCTCGACGTCAAGGATGCCGATGTGCTTGAGCCGTCCCAAGGGCTATGGTTGGAAAAGTCTTGCCTCGACTTGAGCCACGCCGTTACCGTGGCGTTGCTCAAGGTGCGGGTCCTGTTGGATCTGCAGGCGGTTCAGAACGCCGCCAGGATGCTCCGTGGAACCGTCCCGCCGGAAATCATTGATCTCATCCGCGCTCGGCTTGTCGGCAGCGTCGTCGAGGCGCGTCCCGAGATTCTCAGGAGCACCGCAGAGGAGATTGCGCCTCTGGTCCAGGAGATCAAGCGTCAAGTGAGACAGCTTTATACATCCATCAACCAATCCAATCCCTATTTTTGGCAGTCGATGCTTAATAATCCAGCTAAAGCAATTGCCGCCCGGCCAGAGGCCTACTCACAAGGAACACAGGAAGAGGCTTGCTTGATGCTGGGCTATACCTTTGCTGCGTGGGCTGAGACGCCTGGGGCGATTGATGTCGTCAGGAGCCTGAGCAAGGCGCCATGAATCTTAAAGAAAAGGCACACAAAAGATGGACGTTATATGTTCGCAGGGATTTCGTCGAGAGGCGCTATGGGGGATTTGCGTTTCGGTCCAATGCAATAGTAGTTGGCTACGGGGTTTCCCTTTATAGCCCTCAATCACACTTTTGCCCCAGTTGCTCTTTCGTATGGTCATAGCGCCGTTGTACTTGCTCGCTATAAATGCTCAGAACGCCGTCTAGTACCAGACCATGGGCCAGTTGATGAGTGAGCGTTATGCTGGCTGCAAGTGTACGTTCCAGCGATGAACAACGGTGGGATATTCCTTTCCTCATGCTTTAGGTACTCTGGCTATGCGAAGCAGACTGGACCGTCACTAATTGGGATTTGACGAAGTGGCAAAAAGAGAATGAGGTCAGCTGAATCTAATGCGGGCAAAACATGTTGTTTGCGCCTCGTCCGTTAGCCAGATGCAGCTTCAGATTGCCCACCCATTCAGTTTCAACCAGATAGTAGAGGCGAACCCATCGGTAGAGTATCGCCGTAAATTTTCAAGATGCCACATGGCGCACATATAGCGTGAAGTTAAGATGATAGCAACGCTCATGCTGTAACAGAGGGTGACAGTCTGGATACGCGAGGGCGCGCTTTGGATATCAAAGGCTTTGTGTCTTTGGATCGCTTGCTAGAAAGCTGCTCTTGGAATACCAACGCATTCTAACCTCGCGATGACGGTGTATCATGGCCGAGAGTTAAAGCGACTCGTAGAGCGCAAAGAAATAGGTGCTAGCCACCTAAATAATAGACGATTACTCCATTGCTGTGAAGCTACTGCCATCTTCGTAAAAACTGAAAACTAGACCAGAGCTAGTAAGATCGTGTAAGGTGAAAGTCACTTAAAGGAACCTCTCACAGTTGTCTCTAGACCGCCGCAGCGCCAATATCATACTCACGTCATATATGGTTCCTTGTGGCAAAATGAAACGTGGGGAAACTAAGCCTTCGCACGGAGGTTATGTAGATGTCATGAAACAGGAGGCGTTTAATAACAGACGTCACCCATTATGTCGCCTGAAGAATGTCGTCATATGCCTTCACCCCAATAACATCTACTGTGCTCAATAGCGGACTAAATTGCCACCAACATGCTGCTTCGTCAGGTTCAAGTATCTTACATGTTCCTGCCACTATGCTGAAAATTAGAAATAACTGCGACTCGGAGAGCATGAAGCAAGAGCTTGCTAGTAATCGCGCGTGAGTCTGTGCTCTATGAACGATACTTCTTTGGCTTATGGCTTATCTTTGCTGGGAAATGCTGAAATTGCGCAGCATTGTGCATGAATCATGGGACGAGTCAGAACATTAGGCAGCTGCCACTGGGCGGGATCCAGTCGCGGTCGCGGGTGTTTGCTAGTTGGCAGGTGCTGTAAAAGGCTAGCAGCCCTGGAGATCCTCTTACACGTCTTTGTTTGATCGGTCAGTCCGTGTCGAGTCGCAAATACTACCTATGAGGGCTAGTGAGAACTCCTGGCCACCTCCATCGTGGAAATGGGCAAGTGAATTTAATGCAACGAGACCCGCCCCAGTTGGGCTGTGTGCCTCCTCAAGTTTGCAAGCTTTCTCGGCCAACATTTGCAAACCAGATGCATTCCTTTTCCTCGGAATGGTCTGCCTACCTCTATCTACCAAGAAACTCAACGTCCTCGTTTTCCTGCCTTTGTCTAAGATAACGCGACGAGCACGATTCCTCTACTGCCGGAGCTTCTACGAACCAATCATCGCGAGTGAGCTGGCCTCGTGCCGCGTTGCCCGCCATGCCGTCGCTACTTGACCGAGTCTCTCCCCTACTTGTTCGGGTAGCCCTTCTGGTGCCTCTGGTCTTGTCCCTTATCACTGCCATTTTGACGGCCGTGACCGTATCCTCTGGGACTAAACCTGGCTCTCTAGAGGATCTTGCCATCTTCAAGGTTTGACATTTTAAGTCTCCCAGCGAATATCAAGCGGATAGCTAACGGCGCCCAAAGTTGAACATTTCTAAGCTGGACGTGGGCTCTGGCATTACTCCCGAGACGAACAGAGCGCCAACTCCCAGAAGAGATCTCATTAGCGAGAGAGGCATAGTCGACGACATCTTAGGCGCATTGCCAGGCGGCCAACCGAGCAGTAATGGTCAGAGTCCGAGCCCTACATCAGGTCTGGGAAGTCTGCTGGGCGGCGAGGGGAGCGATCAAAGCAGCAGCCTACAAGGGGCAATCGCCAATGCCCTGAGCGGCGGTGGCGCCGGGGGCCTGATATCATCAATCGTGAGAGAGGGCGCCGAGGATATTCAGGCTAGGCTCGGCCTCCCGGACTGGTTTTCGCTCCATCCGAGGACTCTCTGCAATGGCAATTTTACAAATCCAGATGATCCAAAATCTGGCGTCATCGTCAGATCTTGTACTACACCGGGCAGTAAGTTTGTCCTCCTGCACATAGCCGAATGGAAGTTTGGGACTGAAGACTGATGTTTTACTAGAGCGCGTGAGCAACCTTCGAGAGGCTCTTGGACTCGATGGGCCACTGCAGAACATTGCAGACGTGGTTCCGCTGCCGAAAGTCCTCAACGAGTCCAGTGCACTCCTACTCGATGTACTCCATGCAATCATGATCCTGCTCACAGTAGTATTCATCCTCGCGACGGTCGTCAGCTTCCTCGCAATGCTTGCGACTGCCTGTGCCGTCGTCGTGCCGAACAACAAGATTGTCATCGTGGCAAACGCCCTTCTGGCAGGTACGGCCGGGGCGCTCGTTACCGGCGGCTTCATTGGCAGCTACATTATTACGATCGTTGCCTCTAATAGACTCAACAGGATGTTTGAGGATTTTAAGATTGCCTCGCAATTGGGGCCCCAGTTTCTGGGCCTTGGCATCGCCGCGACCCTGTTATCGCTTGGGGCAGCCGGAATCTGGGGCATTGTGTTCGTCGTCCAGTTCCGGGGAACCCTACTTGTTCTCTTCAAAACAGTGTTCGCCAGATCCCGACCGACCGCCGATACCAAGGTCTATTGAGAGTCTACTAGCAGCGCGCCCAGCCTGATATCAAGTTGACCAAGAAGCCGCATATTAATACCTGGCATCAGCACGACGGGAGGGCGGGCGAGGTTGATTGCCGAGCGAGAGCTGGCAAATGCATCGAGAAGTCCGAGTTTCAATTCAAACGTCCAGGGCAAACAGAACCGGCCATTCGATTTGTCCACTTCTTTCTTCAGACCGTACCATAGCTTGACCAGTCTTGCGCTTTGAAAGAGTGCATACAGACTTTGACAGTAATAAAATGAAATTTTAATTATTTTACATCGATTGCATCGTTTATGTTCATACCTCAACACTAACTACTTATCACAATGGCAGGAATGCTAACATTCCGGCAACCAGCTTCGATAACCCCAGCTGCTTTTATTAGTGACAAAGCTGCGAAAGGGGCGTTGAGTTGATTGGCTCGCAGACTAACAGCAACTGCGAATGCTTCTGACTCCCAAGCGCTCGTTATTCGGTGTCTTGTGGGACTGTCGAGAGACTCAGCTAGCACAATTAAAACGAGACAAAGTAGGTGCCCCTGGCTTTCACTTGGTCGAGCCACAAAGGGCAGGCCCGCGAGCACCTTTTGACGGAGAATATTGTGGAGATTGAACAGACAGGGGCAACATATTTACTTTATTGGGGAGTCGCCAGCAGCCCTAGGCTCTAAACGGAATGGAACTGGGAGGTTGAGATTCGCCAATTAGGGAGAGTTTTAATAGTTGCCAACCTCATTCGCAGCTTGTCCCACGGAATCTGGGTTGCTGTTAGCATGGATCCAGCCCTTTGAGAAGAGGGACTCCTTTAACCTGTACCTACCTTGCCCGTCAAGTCGCCCGATCCTCGGATTCACGGCAATGACCGTCTCTGCATCCCTCACAAGCCCTTCTAATGTGGTGGCCCTTGCCTTCACCCTTGCGAGAGGTTAGGTTCAGCTTGACACCACACCACGTTTTGATTCGATTGGCGACCCGTTCCGAGTAGGAATCGTCCAGGATCGGTGAGCTGACCAGGTTGTAATGCTTGCAGCGCTGAGAGTACACTCTCGCATTATAGGTTGCACCACGATACATTCGTAGGGTGATAGCAATCTTGGTGCTTTCCCATCCATATCTCTCTGCGGTGCATGCGCGATTGCGGCAAACAAAACGACACATGATTTTCGTGTCGTAGGATTTCATGCAAGTTTTGTCGTCATCGTCATCGTTGAAGTCGAAAAAGAGATCCTCCTGTGCGAGTAAGGATGAAACCTGACCGTGACATCCTGGATACAAGGACCATTTCTTAGCCGGTCGGGACTTTTTGCGCGCCATGACGACGCAGTCTAAACAGACGAAAGCTTGAGAGGGTAGAGTCCCGTGTAATGACACTTAGGCGTTTGGCAGGACTGGTGAAAGGAAGAGACGCAGTCGTTTGGCAGAAGTAATGAAGAACTGGGAACAAAGATCAGAGGAGACACTGCGGTGATCCGAGGGAAAACATAAACAGACCTGACATGGGTGGCGAAGTGAATCCAACAAGACTGTGCCAGTGAATTTGATGGGATATATGTCCCCGAAATTTTCTCCCAACTCAATCTCATGTCACGTAACACTAATAATTCTTGCTTGTGCTCGGGTTTGTCGTTTTGAGCTTAGATCACAAGCCTCAGCTCCAGCCCAGCTCCGTTTGCATTCTGAACTGCCCACAGCTTTTCGGGCGAAGCATGCACTGGTTCGGACCCGATGGCTCTTCCGAGGCTATGCTTGCACCCTCGATTGACGCTCCCTTTGGGGCTCCCTTATCCGCCCTTCGCTTCTAACCTGAACCACCCTGTCATTGGCCGGCAAGGCGGTGGTGATGACAAGATGCCGCTCGGCGCCACTGTAAAGGACTTAGACGTCAGTGAAACGGAATATGCGGCAATGGCCAGATCAGCAGTCGTCGTTAGCTGGATGACGACGGGCATTTTCTTGACGACGGCCGCCCCGAAAGTGCAGAGGACAGACACATTTGGAGAATGAGACCAGTCTTGCGTCGTCTTGGCATTTCGAATTTCCATACAAAGGATTCAGGAAAGGGGTAGATAGGTCGAATTGGAAAGTCGTGGGAGCCGACTCTACAGAGCAAAGCGGCGCCATGTTGGACGTATTGGTGAAATCCGAGTATGCCCACAACCGCAGCGTCCCAAAGAAGACAGCTCCTGCTTGCCCAAGTCTCTAAACTATGTGCTCCTCACCAAACTTCCCAACCCTCCATTACGGGTTTATTCACCCGCTTACAAGCCAGTTTCGCGGTCTGGCTTCAGGGCGCACCAGAGCCGCCTGAGCCCATTGACGCATGACTCGTCTATGACGCCGCAGCAACGCGCAGAATCCGCGCCTAAAAAATAACAGAGCATAGCGTGTGCGTGCCCTGGCTCGCAAAGATGAAGACAGCTTGCCGCCACATTGAGTCAATGGGCCCCCACTTGACGTGGGCCCAAACAGCCTAGAACCTGACCGACCCATGGGCAGACCGAATTATGGAAGCGGCACGCACGTAGGCAAGTTGACGGCATTGAAAAGCTTTTCCTCGAGGAATTCGTCGACTTGTCACGCCGGTTCGGGAGCGGTGGGTTTGGCATAATAGCAATCTCATGATTTGGCGGTGAACTTCTTGTTTCCTGGAGCTTTCAGACTTTGTCGCGCCATTTCGTGACACGCTCGCAAGTATTGAGTAACTTACAGTCTCCGCCAAGTGATTTGATGGATTCAGATCCCTGCGGCACCGGACAGCTGGGTCATTTCTGCAGACTCCTGTCACGTTGACGTGGGCGGTCCAAAGCTCGATCTAACATCTGTACAAAGGCGGGCAAGCAACGGTGGTTAATTCCACACCGATACCCGAATTCCACCCGTCTTTGACTAGAATGCGATGCCGACACAGCAAAGCCCTTGTTAGAGTCATTGATGGGGCTCTATGTCCTCAGATTCAGTTAACCGTCCAGCCAGTTGTGGTGCTGTCGACTGACGGGAGACTTTGCCCAGTCGAGTGATGTAAAATCACTCTTGTGCGGGTTGCTTGCTCTACACACTACATCGTCCTTGATCAAGATTTTTATTTTAATGAAATCTTTGCCGCTTCAGTCGAGGACGTATCACCCCTTGGTACTCCTTATGGCCTTTGCCCTTGGGTGCCCTAAAAAGCTAATTGTCAGCTGCCACCAGCACCTCCATGGCATATAAGGTCCACTACCAGGTCATCTGTTCGAGTGTCACTTCACTTTTGCCTGCACAACCAAGTGGTTTCCTCACACTAACTCATATCTCTATCCTCGATAAATGCAGTTCTCACGGGGCAAGCGCCCCACACCGGAGCACAAGTACCTACGCTCTTTCCACGTACGCTTTTGTCGTCGAGGGGGCCCATTGATATCAAAGAGAAGATTTATCCACAACCCCTATTATTATATAAGTAAATGCTAAGAAGTAATACTTTTTACACTTATATATATCTCTATCTATACTTAAGACCTACTTTTAGGCCCTGACTAACCGGCATGCAGCTCTAGCTATTCGGCATGTAGAAAAAGTAGGTAGTGTGGCTGGTTAAGGCGCAGCGCCGATACCGTAAATTTAAGTGTATATATTCCCCGCGCCTACCTTACGCACTACTTAGATAGAATTTATATATCACTAATAATATCTAATTAAAGCCATTTATATCGCCCTTTCTATAATAAGCCGCCGTTATAATAGAGTCTCTCTTAAGCTAGACCTTTCCCTCCCTTTAAAAGGCTTAAGCCGCCTATAACGTAACGGCACGAGCGTATAGCTTTGCCCTTACTATAGCTATAAAGAGGCCTAATATAGCTACGCCTACCTACGTTAACCTTCGCTGCTTAAAGGGCCGGAAATACATAGACTACGGCGATAAGGCTATCGTTTATTACGACCACGGTTAGCGGGCCGCAGGAGAGCCGGCCACGTTCACGTGATAAGGCGGCTCGGAACAATAGTCGGGACGAGAAGTCACTTAGGCTTAGCTCACCTAGAGCGTACGTGAGCTAAGTAAGCCTTATATAGATAGATTACTACTTAGGAGCATAGCTCACGAGTAAGCTATAGTAAGCCACGAAGGGGATCACGGCTAAGACCGTGATCTAAGGATAGTCTCTATAGGTATATATAGCTACCTACTTTTACTCCTTTAGATAGATAGCTCGATAGCTTTTAATATAGATCTTTATTACGATTCTATCTCTAATTCTAATTACCTAGTTATAGTCTATAGTCTATAACCTCTAACTTATTACTAACGTAATATACTTATTATTACTTAGACTACGCCCTATTATATCTATTAATATAAACCCCTCGATAGGTTTATCCCTTAGGAATAACACCGGTCGTTATATATTAAAAGCTCTTATTTAGTATAATACCGCGTTACTCTAAGTAATATTATAACTATCGATATACCTATATAGTAAGCTAGATTAACTAACTCTAGAGCTACTATATCGCCTTAGGATATAATACGCGAGATTATTACCCTTCGATATAAAGTATAGTTACTTAGGAACGGAGGAAGCAATAGATAAGTTAGGGACCTTAGAAAAGTAGTTAAACTAAAATTATAAGAATATACCCTTATATTCCTATTTTACTGTTATAAAGAAATAATAAGCATAGGGAGGCTTTATAGAATAAGCTAGTAAAAAGAGGCTCTATAATATAGTCTAAGGGAATAACCCTTAAAAGATAAAGACCTCTACTAGACATCTATACCTTCCTCTAGGAAAAGCGGGTTAGGATAAGCCTATCCTTACAAACAAAAATATGCATAAAATGCATAAGTTAATTACGAGCAGAACGGATACCCTATTGCCTATTTTGGCCTAGCGGTTCCGAAGATATCCGCGATACGAGAATAGGTGGGGCATAGAACATTCTAGTTAAATCCACTACTTATGCCAGAACCTATAGTCTTACGTCAACCATCACGCCACAATCAGACCACCTACTAAGTTAGGAAGATATACTATAGATAGAGCTTTTTAAGCACTATAGAATGTGCTAGAAAGCTAACTAATTGGTCTACTAGTAGGCGAGCAATGGTCTATAAAAGACGAAGGATTTCCCTGGGAGTAGTAGATAGAATAAGCAAGTTCGCAAGCATCTTTTACAACGCTATTCTTTTAATATATTATTCAGCCCCTTATATACTCGTTATAAATTTCGGACGAAATCCTACCCTATACTCCTTCGACCGATCTTTCCGCTTATATTATCGATTACCCGATTCTACGCTTATTGCTTATACCTTCTTATAAAAATAGCTAAGACTATTCGACGGTACTTATAGCATGCTTCGAGACTTTCTTACCTAACTTAAGGCCTACTACTAGTTTTACCTTACTAAACTCTTAGACCTAGTCGAAAAGGTACTCTACGTAGGAAATTATTTATCTAGAATAGTACTCGCTTAGTTTAGACCTATTATAAGGGACTTTCTTAATAACTAACTAGCGCGACGAGATAACGAGATAGATAAAGTCTTTATTAGTCTCTAAGGATTTAAAGAAGTTATTATAAAGGTATTTAGAATAACTAATAAAGAATAAGAAGCTAAATAGAAACTTTAAGAAATCTAATAAAGGATCTTAGTATTAGATTATACTATAAAGTTCTATTAAGTTACCTTAAAGCTTAATTAAGATAACGAACCTCTTATATTATAATTCTATAATAGGCTTAAAGAAGAAGTTAAGGACGAGCTCTATAAGGAAAATCGACCTAATAACCTCTTAGACTATATTACTATAGTAGTACGAATCGACGATAGATAGTATATATAACGCTAAGAAAAGAAATAAGGAAGAGGAAACTAAAACCCTTCTTATAAGAATAACTTTAACTAACGCGCTAACTATAAAAAGAAGCGCGAAACTCTTATTACCTATGCCTATATAACTAACCTAGGTAAGATAGATCTAAATATAATATAGAAAAGTAAAGGATAGTATTTTAATTATAGGAAACCTAGATATTACTCTAAAGAATATAAATAACCTCGTAAGGAGAAGAAAACCTATTAAGTACTAGCCCTAGAAAGTAAGAAACACCTAAACGCTACTAATAGATAAGAACTAAAGTATAAACTCCTTAGTTAGACTATATACTATAACGACGAATATATAGTATACTTAAGTAATAAAAACGGTACTAGATAGTTCTTAAAGCTATTAAAGAAAACACTTATAATAATATAATAAAGGGATCTTAAAATATAGAAATAAGTTAAATTTATAGAACTAGAATACCCTTTTCCTAAAGAAGTCTCTTAAGAC